GCGAACAAAACCCAAATTTAATTCAATATTAGCCTGAATGATTTGAAAGCATAAAGAACAAGAAAGATACTTGAGAGAGTAAACTATACCTTATAATAAAAGGCCATAAAAGAATAAACAACATAGTAAAAAGGTTAAAATACTTGTTTTACTTACTTCCTGACAGAAGCACTAACATAAAAGTGTTGGACAGGGAGAGAAAAGAAGCAACATATAAAAAACAAGATTCAATCAAACAAACTTCAAACTTCAAACATGCACACTGTAACGACTGATTCAAACGTAGGCCACATATAGGGTAGAAGTAAAATGGACACTCTACATTAATCTTTCACAAAAGTAAAATGAACAAATCAAAATAGAAATCTATGTGATTGACATGTTGCCTAATATGTGTTCACACTGTGCTGTTGCATAATATTCAACACACGACAATATAATCTCAAATCTATAGATGCCTGTGTAACCGACAACATATATCCACACTAACATCAGCGTACTGTAGATCTACATGAATCATCTTGTCTGACAGTGGTGCTCACAGCATGTTGTCCGTTATTACAGGCTGGGTTATAAATCATACAGCCTGATCAACAGGATTGTCTTTGTAAATTCACATTTCTCTGGTTCACAGGATAGAAGCATTAATAATCACAAGTGCTGAGTTAATACAGGAAGAAAACTGTGTTTTGACGGCTCAATTTGATATGTGAAGCTCGCCTATGTTGTTCCTTTTGTAATACGCTGTCTGTGAATTTTCAACGCTGAGCTTCGAACCAAACCTACATCTGAGTTTTTGATGTAAACAGTTATGAACAGTAGTTACAGTCTAGCATAGCCAGACTTAGCAGACACTTATCTTGTGTTGAGTTATGGCTCTTTGATATCAAGCGTCTTATAAATCTGTAATCCAGCGACATGACAAAGGATTGTGTGTCACAGCATTATGGAAATGACTGAAAACGTAAGCGACACCAGTGTAATCTTTTAAGGCTGGATTTTCTACTTAAATGTGTTATAAAACTACAATGCGGATAAAGCAATCAATAACGCTCTCTTTACACCCACGTAAAGAACGAAGGGAAACAGAAGAAAGAAATCACTCCAAGAAACACATATTACTTTAACACTGGCTAAAATAAAATAATTATATTCCCACATTAAATCAATTGTTTCCTAAGTGCTACATGCTT